AGAGTTTCAATCAATTTGTTTCTTCTGATATTGTCAAGGAAAAAATAGGACTCGTTTTTCTTCGAGTTGTACTATATATATATACATTCAGATATACAACCCTGCCAAACCTGTTGTTGTCTCAGACAGTCAGGCTCTGATTGATTGTTCAGTGCATGTGGACTCACTCAACTGATGTTGGTGTTTCTCCAACTAAAGACACGTTGACATGAAGTGCCCTCGCGGCGCCGCAAGACTACCTTGGCATGCATCTGATTGGATGGATCCAATGCAACCCGACGGTCAGAGACCGACGACAATTGACGATCCACACCACACGTATTTTAGTCCGCGTGTACACTGCAAGTCGCCACAGCCCACAGGTACAGTCCGCCTGTGCTTGCAGCAGTTTGGATCCTTCCAGGAAGCTGCAGATATACTTGTTGCGTACGTCCAATCCAACATGCATGCTTGTTTGTTTCTAACAATACCGTGTCGTAGATTCGTAGTGTGTGGTTGCGTAAGAATAGAGGTGTTACGCAATCGAGTATATATTATCGCTGCATTGACCTTGGATTACAATGAAGATTTTGTGGAGCAGACAGTAGGCATGCATGAATCCTAGGTAGCTTGTTTTTTCAGACGGTACAGTATTTTTCTCTCATAACAAATGAGCCGGAATAACATTTTACCAGAGCTACCCAGCTCTCTGGTACAGATTGGTACTGATAGCACATGTACTACATCTACAGGATGCTTGTCATGTGAGTCGGTCAATATTGTCTCCACTTGGCCTTAACTACTGCTAGTCGTCGTCGTCGTCGTTGATCTTGACCTCGGGCTCTGTACTGCGAGGTTAAAAGTCTTTACAGGGGAAAAAAGAATCGCATCTCGCTTGCTTGTACTTGTGCGTACGTGTGTGGTAGTAATATAAGAGTGAGACACCATCGTCTCACATCTCAACCAAACTGGATCTATCAGGTTCAGTTTAGTTCCAGAAAATTTTACCAAATTTTTCAGATTTCTCGTTACATCGAATCTTTGGACGCATGCATGAAGCATTAAATATAAATAAAAAATAAAACTAATTACATAGTTTAGACGAAATTTACGAGACGAATCTTTTAAGCCTAATTAGACTATGATTGGACACTAATTACCAAATAACAACGAAAATGCTACAGTACATTTTGCAAAAAAATTCACCATCTAAACAGACCCTGTATATATCTCGGTAAGTCACGACGTGACAATATATTATTTGTGACAAGCGGTAAAAAGAAATGGGTGCGATGTGGAACGCGCCTACTAGCCAACCAACTTCGATTTGGATGGGCGGTGACAAGCACATCGGTTTAATTTGGTGCCACATAAAATAATTTCTTTTACGTATTGATTTAGCTAGCCGAAAATAAATAAGTAGCTAGGGAACGAGGATATTATCTTCATGTTGATGATATAATAATATACATATATGTTTGGAGCGAAATCGATCCGACCATTATTTACAAACTGCACAACTAATAGTATTTTGGGTGGAGAGTTATCTCATACTATACCATACTTGTTTTAGTTGATTGTCATGGACATAATTTTACACAATAATTAATTGCTTGAAAAGCATAAAAAGTTAACAAGGCATTATGCATAGGGAGCTAGGCGGGGTTGTATATATATATGCATAGGGTTTTTTCCTCTCACGAACGTCCATAGGGTCTCTATTGACACTGGCCTAATAAACTATGCGAACCTCAGGGCTCCGGCGTCCGTAGGTCTCTCCGGCAGCGCGCGGATCGGCGTGCGGCACATGGTAACTTTGACTTAGTAGGAATGTGGTGAGTTGCATCGTCATGCATGCCGCATTGCTGGGCCGATCGGTCGTCGTCACCTCGCCGGCATCGCGCTCTCATGCATCCACGGCCGTTTCTCAAGCAAGAAATTCGACAACCGCGTGGAGTGGAGCAACTGGGCGCATCGATCACGCCGCGCTACCTAGCAATATGCAGCGCAAAGCATGGGTCTCTCACAACTCACTAGCTAGCCCATTAATTCCATCCGCTGGGCGCGGTGGCCCGGTGCCCCAGCGCGACATACATGACGGGCCGAGACAGCAGGCTGTGCACAGTGCACTCTTTGCTGTTCTGCTGGTTGATGGGAAAGCCTGGCGTGCTGAGCGACCTCCTGAGTCCCTAAGGCCCTGACTCTAGAGCTCGATCTCTCCAAGGATTTGCCTTGGCCATGTGGGGCTGATGATCGAAACTTTGTGCGTGTAGCGTCTGGACATAATGTGACTAGGACAAGACAAAAATAAGTTCATGATCCAAAAACTATTAGTATTTTTGATATATTGTACCTAAATGCAAACTACAATACAACTCGTTGCTATTTGATAGTTTTAGGGTTAAAGCTAACTATAGAGTGTAAATTTACTATTTTTTGTATCTTATTTTGTGGAAATAATTATTGGACGTGGTCACTAGTGGAATATGAAACGTTGTCTAACTACAATTCTAAGAAAATAAACAAAGTCCTTGATGAAAAAAAAGTGAAAACACAAAGCATCCTTGATGAAAAAAACGATAGTTGCACTTTCAGTCGAGCAAGTGAGAAAAAAAATAAAAAAGATAATTAGCACAGCTAGAAAACATATAAAAAAGGGAAAATAGTTATTAGTTGCATTTTCGGCCAAGCATATTGCAAAAAAAAATATAGAAAAAGAATAGTGAGAAAAAAAGAGAGAATGAGCACAATGAGAAAAGTATAAAAAAAGAATGCAAAAAAAATGTAGTTGCATTTTCGGTTCAGCACAGTGATAAAAAATAAAATAAGAATTAATGAGCACTTTGACAAAAGAAAAAAGAGAATGAACACAGTAAGGAAAGAAGAAAAGCACACTGAGAAAAAGAAAAATAAAATAAAAAGAGAATGAGCACAATGAGAAAAGTATAAAAAAAAGAGAATGCAAAACAGTAGTTGTATTTTCAGTTGAGCACAGTGAGGAAAAATAAAATAAGAATGAGCACACTGAGAAAAGGGGAAAAAATAAAAAGAGAATGAATAAGAAAAGAAAAAGAAAAAAACTTAAAAAGAGTGCGGTGAGCGTGGATCGAACACGCGACCTTCAGATCTTCAGTCTGACGCTCTCCCAACTGAGCTATCCCCGCTTTTGTGATTTGTTTGTATAGTTTTGTTGATATCAATTAATTTATCGGCGACTCACACTGTATAACCAAGCTGTGCTGTGTCCCAAACAGAAGCAGTGTGTCCCGGCCCAGGGCTCAATCCTGGGTGATGAGGTCCTTCCTCTGACTGAGACAACCCAATGTCCAAAACCATGCCGTGGATTTGCCTGACGCCGGAGCACTGCAGGTCTGAACACTGACCGCCGCTAGCACCTTGGATAGTATTATAGTACGTTTTTACTTGCTCATCCGTCATCCCTACAAGGGACGTGTATTTGGTGCTGTGTTCAGTCTTTTTTTTTTTTTTTGCTATCAGGATCATGAATCAAAATGATGGCACCACCAACAGCACTACAAGAGCTAAAGGAGCGTGGCCTGGTTATTAAGTAGCTTGTAGTTGTAATTCAGAGCTGCACTGAATCACTGATGCACAGTTCAAAAAAGTCCATTTTGCTTTCTTTCTTTTTTTGAAAAATAAAAACTTTATCCTCACCTATCATATGGTGCTGTTTTCTGGATAAACAAGTTGCAAGTTTCAATATTTTTGTCCACGACTGATCATAATTCGATATTGCAAAGGTGCGCCATTAATTATATTGCGGCTACATGAATTCTGCATAGTCAAGCTAACTAGTACCTTGAAGAGTTTGAGTTTGGTGTCAATCCAATAGCTACAAATTCTGTCTTGCGATTGTGCAGAACTGATGTCCCTTCACTAGTGTTGCACCTAACAGCCATTGTAGAGAATGCACTCTGCTTTCACAGGTTTCCGTCAACACTCAACAGCCATTTGCAGTCTGAATTCCAAAACTCATCCATGCGTTGGACCGTTCCTTGCGATTGGTGCTGCTCGCTGTCCAGGTTTATAGCAGAGAAATAAATGAGTTGCTTCAATCCCATCCCCATTATGTCTACTGGTTAGCAAGAAAGCAAGATGATTGAGGATAACATTATTTACACCAACTCTTTTGATTACGGAAAGTGCATTCTATATATATTGTAGTCCCTTCTGTAGTCAACAAAGTAAACAATAAACACCCTCGGGAAGAAAATACTAATAGGCTCCTTTCAGTCATACGACAACAGAACCTCTACTACCACGCTGCTTTCAGAACGGCCGACAAGGCCAATCAGGAAAACCGTATTCAGCATTCAGCAACATGAGCACTTGAGCAACGAGGACAAGGTTTACAAGTGAAACAAAACCCTGTGCAGAATCAGAGAACCTGTCACAAGAAACATCAGGTTTTTGAGGCTACAGGGTGAAAAGAACAACACTTTTGACACTGGCTTCTCGCCCTTGGGCCGTGGTCAACAATAAGCCTTGTAATTTGTAGCAGGTCTCCTAGGAGAAACAGGGAAGTGCTTTCAACACTTCCTCGAACAGCTTGTAACAGTATGATACTCCTATAGATTGTGACGACGGTCAGTGCAGCCATGGTGTCAGCTTGAATGCCTGCAAATAGACTGCTTACTTTAGCATGACACAATAATGTATGTAAACCATGAAGATAACAAGATCTGTTGTAGAATTATACCTTGCGAGGCGATGTGGTTAAACCTGTTGTGCTGGTAGGAACGTGTGCTTAACAAGCCACCCAGTAATCAGTTCACATATTCATCATCAATTATTACCTTTAGCTTCCTTGTTGCTAGCGTTCTGCATTGCTCGGTTAGCAGCTCACTGCACTCGCAGACCTCCAGTTCTTCCAGGGAAGGTGGGAGGCCCCTTTCTGGCAGCCTTGAGATATTCGGGCAATAACCGATCGCCAACCTCTTGAGAGAGAGAAAGCTATGCAGACCCACAGGAAGATCCGAGAGTTCGTAGTAACGTTCAAATCAGAGCTGTTGCAGGGACGCGAGAAGCTGAAGCGCTGCCTCTTGTTCGCATGTTAGTCCTGCCATGTCGATAAGTGCATATTCGTCCACGAGCTTTAGGCATTGGGGAGAGGTGAGGTGCTTGCAGAATGCCGTGGTAAGAAATGACGGGTCGTCGATCCGAAGCCTTTCCAATCGAGGGCACAGCTCATAACCCTGCGTCGATAGACTCTCCAAACATTGAGGTAAGCCAGGGCATCTGTATACTTCCAAATACCTGAGACTGCGGAGGGACCGGACACCCTCTAGTGCGTCTAGCGATTTGCAACATCGAATTGTCAGCTCTTCCAGTGCTGTGCAGGAATGCAACTGTAGAGATTTCAATGCATCATTTTCCGACACTTCTAGTACTTTGAGGCGGGTCAGATCTCCTGGAAAGCAGGGATGCAGCGTTTCTAGGGAAGCGTCATGGATATCCAGTATGCCAAGTGAATACGGGAGAAGCCATCTTCCGTTTGCCTGGTCATCGATTTCGTCTTCACGCACCAAGGACGATATCAGCTCGGGGCATTCAACAATTCTTAGCTTCTCAAGGGAGGTGAATCCAGAGAAGCATTCCTTGTTCCCCAGAAACTTTAGCTTGCAAAATGCAATGGACATCTTCTTGAGAGAGGGTATGAGGTTAGATGGAATCCACAGGAGTTTGTTAGGACATGGCCTTGTCGATGCGCCATCTTGATATGGATTTCCTTGTGACAAAGCACGTGGAGCCGAGGTGAGATTTGATAAACTATTCTCCTTTCCTTCTATCGATAGCCCTGTTACTAGATGCAATTCCTCTAGGGCTCGCACATGTTGGAGTATCAAAGATAACCACTTCCCGGTCATTCCACAATACTGAATGCTGAGACGCTTGAGAGATGGGAGGGCATCAAAATCTGCGGCTGCCATGTCTTCATGGGTACGCGCTGATGGAACATCGGTAGAGAAAAATTTTTCGCAGCGCTTTATTTTCAACCTCTTCAAGCAGTCGAGTTACTTAAAACCTTCGAGTGAAATAGAAGATAATTTTTTGCAGCGCACTATTTTCAATCGAGTTATGGTCCTCAGGTTGTGAAATGACAAAATTTTGTCATCCAGGAACTCAATGGAAGATGGGTCACCATAAAATCCAATTTTCACTTCCCCATTTGATGATCCCTCCATTGTTGGAAGTGCTGAAACATCTGTGATCGATAATTTACAAAAGCTACTTGATGGTGGTAGAGGATTCGATACCACTAAATAAGGACACTCATGGATGGTCAGCTCACTAATATTTGGCAACCATGACTTCTGGTCGATTTCAAAATTTTCACAGCTCTCAAATAGGGGAAAGGCCTTCAGTACCCGTCATCTCCTGATCTCCAGTACCCTCAAACTTGAGTTCAAGTCCCTCACTGAATTAGAGAAACATGTTTCCAACTTTGGCATATCAATCAACACCAGCTCCTCTAACGAAGGAATTAGCAACTCTGTTACTTCTGGCATATTCCTTAACTTCAACTTTGTAAGAGATGATAGACTTTCTAGAGATGGGATTATTTGCCATCCTTTACAATCCTCTAGATGGATCATCTGGAAGCTAGCAGATCTAGCTGGGGTGCAAGCTCCTTTTGTCAGAACAAGATGCCTCATGCTGATGAGATCACTCATATCATGAACAATTGCTTGGCACCCAGCATCTAATATTTCAAGGTGGTAAAACTTGCTTAGAGATATAGGCAAAGATTCACTTTTTCCTTTGTTCTCAAGTTTTAGGTAGCGAAGATGGGTACAATTTACCAAATTGGAGATAAAGGTATGGAAGGATTTGAACTGGACGAATAAAGAATCATAGCGTCCAACTAAGATCACCGTCCTCAATCTCCTTAATGAAGAAGCTATACTTTGCAATTTTTCTTCAAACTTCACGTTACCAACTATGTTCTCACATTCATCTATATGGTACATCAAATCAGTTTGAATTGACAAATGGCGCACGGTTGGTAGCACTTCTTTGCACTCTAAACCATCTATAGTTGCAAACTCGGTCCTTGAAACTAGTCTCGCAAATTCATGCATCATACCACACATAACATAGCATTGTTGTAGAATGGAGTCATCTTTTGTTCCAACGGAGTCATCTTTTGTTCCAACCTGCTCAAAGAAACATGAGTTGACCAAAGCATTGAGATAATCCCATCCTGACTCAATAGATTTCACAAATCCCGATGATATCCACATGGAAACCAAACCATCAATATGAAATTGATGGTCACTAGGGAATATAGAACATGCCAAGAAACACTGTCGTAAATGGTAGGGCAGATGATAATAGATATTCTTCAAAGCAGTCACGATGCCTCCACGGAGTTGCAGAGATTCCCAAATACCATTCTTAATGATGTTTTTCCAATGGTCAAGGGTAGGCTGCTCTCTTAACATTTCCACTGCACTTTTCGCTGCTAATGGGTTTCCCTTTAACTTTGCACATATTTGTAGGCCGGTGTCTAGATGCTCTTTATAATTGTTATCACCAAATGCACAAGCTCTAAACAATTGCAAAAAAATTGATCATTTCCTAGAGCTCTTAATTCAACTGGTTTGATTGTACCCAGCCTTTTTGCAACAGACAAATTTCTAGTTGTCACAATAATCACATTGCCGTTTGTGCAACTTGATCCCAATGCATCCAATAGATCTTCCCATTGGGAATTATCCATGCAGTCGTAGACATCATCTAGAACTAGGAGAAACCTTTTGGACAGACATGCCATATGTTTCTTTAAGACCTCTCGAACCTTCGAGTAGTTGCTTACTCCTTCATAACTTTCTCTTTTGCGAGATCCTTCATGACTAGCCAGAGTAACAACGTCTAAGATCTCCCTTGTCACTCTTACTTCGTCAAAGATGCTGGACACCCAAACCCATATCCGCTCAAATTTTCTTTCAACATGTGGATCATTGTATACAAGCTTAGCTAAAGCTGTCTTCCCAACTCCTAGAATACCTACAATAGGTAGCACAGTTATGTTGTCTGACTTAGTAGCTTTGATCGCTTTTATGATTTTGGCTTTCTCCACATCCCTTCCATATACCTTTCCAGGAAGAGAGCTTGATGTTCTTACTCGTGTATCTGAGTTGTTAATCTGATACTGATCAGACCTTGCAATAGAGTCCTTGAGATACTCAATCACATCGCCTCGGATGCTTCTTAACTCAAGAACTATTTCCTGATCCTTTTCAAAAATTCAGCCTTGTCCTAGAGGTGTGTGGTTGTAGCTACATTGTACTCAATTCTCATCCTTTTTCTGCCGTCTGAATCATTGGTCGAAATTGTGGCACCATTTTGTACACTGTTGCCGACACTACAATAGGAAAAGGATCGTGTGTTAGTCGTCAAGGCTATGATGTTCTGGTTTTATGAGTATTTTCTGTGTTTTAATCTGTGCCTATGTAAGGTTTTCAGATCTGGTTTTCCTTATAAACTAGATCAATTCTATTCTTCTTAATTGAAAGGTAGAGCTTCTGCTATTACTTTCAAAAAAATAGGAAAAGGATCACAGGTTGGTCATCAGAAATTTATTACCATAATTTGAAGTTGCACTGGTTGTCATAGTTTCAGTTTGCTTTCCTATAATAATAAAAACATGTACGCATATATTAAGGTGCTGGCTCCAATGTTTTTTTTAAGAATAAAGGCGTTGCAATGTTCATTATTTTTGCCCATCATAGTTGGATACAATGCAGAACTTGAAGGTAAGTACCTTGGAGGGTTCAGCGTCTCTTCAATTGCTGAACGTTTTTTGTTGCAACTTTTGAGATGCTTGTGCAAAGCTGATGTCCCGTGACCCCATGTAAGCTCTCTGCCGCAGTGATTGCACCTCGCTTTTGCAGGCTCTCTGTTAACAGATGGTATAATCTGAAAGTAGTCCCGCATCTCGGATCGGTTTTTGCGGCCGCTACTATTCAGTGTGGCCGATGCATCTGCTTGCCCTACTCGATCTCTATCTCCATCTCCAACCATTCCTTCCGGCTCAGTAGCAGGAGCAAGCATAACTGATAGAGAACGGAGAAAGTAGTGAGGACAGGTCAAGCGTCGCATTTATCATCACAATTTACTAAAGAAAAAAAACTGTGGAGAATCACAGATCAAGGATCAATGTATACCAGAAGTATTGGCCGATGCATCTACTTGCTCTGCTCCATCTCCAACTATGCCTTCCGGTCCAATAGCAGGAGAAATCATAACTGAGAGAGAAAGGAGAAAGAACGTGTCATGAGGATTATCACAATCTACTTAAGGAAAAAATTGTAAAAGAAAATCACAAACCATAAGGATCGATGTATACATACCTCCTTTGACCTGGTCCTCCTGGAGCCTGCAATAGTCGAGCTCATCCACCACGTCGTCGGCGTCGTACATGAGCTGCTTGACACGAGCGAGGGAGCGAGCAAGCGGCTTGTTCCCGACCGCCCTTCCATTGATACCATTAACCACCGTCTCCATCCTCTCGACCTCAGATTTGAGTTCCTCGATGGCAGCAGTGAGGCCAACTTGACGAAGCCAATCGGCAAGTTTTCCTGGTTGAAGAGTTTCCAGGATGGTTTGCGCTAGCCATATAATCGCACCCACCACAGCGGTGGCCTCTCCTGCCTCCAGCAGATCTTTCCGAGACATTGTTCTTGACTATTGAGCGATGGCCAGCGGAGCGGTAGCCAAAGCAGGGAAGAATCAGAGGAGCATGCCGACGCATGCCGGCCAGGATTCTATGACTTGCTGCAGTAAAGTCACAGGTGACTTTCCATCACCTGGATGCCATCTGTTTTCCATCCAACTGTTGGAAAGCTCTTCACTTTATCAGTTCTAGCCAGGATGCAAATAACAGCCCATCCAAAGTCTAGTTAGCAGACGGAGCAGGGATAGTTGGCAGATTTTTCTTTTTTCTGTGCGGTTTATCTTTTCAAAACTTTTACATATGAGCTTGGATAAATATAAAATTTATAAGAAAATTGCAGTCTTAAAAAATATATAACTATAGTATATGAACTTTTCATTTAAAATCATTTTATGTGAATAAATTGCCTTAAATTATCTACCATTACTAGAAAATTATATTTTTATATAATCTCGGATGTAGATAAAATTTAAAATAATCCTACTTCTCAATAATATCTATAACCTTTTAGTTTCATAATATATTGATCAACAAATATTTTTGTAACATCCTGAAAAGTCAAATTCAAAACCACCCGTACTCAAAATTATTTCAAAAACTATAAATCATTTTAGCTCTATTTTAATCTTCTTTTCAACTCATGTCTACCTCATATATCCATCCCAGTCCTCTCACCTAGACATATATCATGCACACTGTAGCGACAGTACCCTACTTGTAGCAAAAGTATACAACCTCTTCAGAGTGTATAGTCTATCTAGATAGTCGTGTCCGCGGTATCGAACGAGTAAGATTATTTTACAAATTTTATCTTCATCCGTGATTATTTAAAAAAAATATAACTTTTGAAGTGCTATGTAACGGTAGTTAATTTGAGGCAATTTCACACAAAACGATTTTAAATGGAAAGGTCATATACTATAGTTATTGATATTTTTTAAGATTACAATTTTCATATAAATTTTATATTTATCGAAGCTCATATGTAAAAGTTTTGAAAAGATAAGCTGCAAAGAAAAAAGAAAATTATGCCAACTAATCCTGCTCCGTCCGCTGTTATTTGCATCCTGGCTAGCACCAATAAAGTGAAGAGCTTTCCAACCGTTGGATTGGATGAGAAATGGATGACATCAAGGTGATGGAAAGTCACCTGTGACTTACAGCTAGAGAATCCACGCCGGCCGCATGCGGGTGGTAGAAAGCTGGTAAAGCTGACAGAGCGGCAAAAGTGACAAACGCCTCAGGCCGTGTGCCCGTGTCTCACCACACCACTTCACCAGTCACCACCCCAGAGGGAAAGGGAAGAATAAAAAAGAGAGCACGCGCTTTCCACTGTAACGTGGAGGTGGAGCTAGCAGACATCCTGATTACCTCAAAATATTAGGAAGCAATGGAGAGACCACCCTCCCAGTGCAACCGTAAAAAATTCTTAGAAACATATTTTGTGGCAAATATGTTAATGATTCAAAATAACATGCACGTTTAACCGTTCGTAATGTGGAACCATGCATTTCTTTCTTAGTTTAGTGTCTTCGTTGCGGCTACGTCCCTTTTGTCCTTTCCAGTTTATCAGGAAGGAACTGAACAAAACTGTGCATTTTAGTTGCAGAATAACTGAAGTGGCAGAAATGCATTTGAGTATATAAATGAGTATCAAGCGAGTTCAATGGCCTTCCTGTTCCTATAAATTTGAGTACACCAATGGGATTATGGGAATCGACTCCAAAGGACGTACCCAGTGCAGAAAGCTCCCGCTCTGTGCGGGGTCTGGGGAAGGGTGTTAGTGGCAAACCTTACCCTTGTCTGTGCAATGCGAAGAGACCACGACTCAAACCTGGGACCTTCAGGTCACATGCGGTGAGACTCTACCGCCTGCACCAGCTGCATTTTTTTTCTAGAAAACATATGTATAGTCGTAGAACCGTGTAGAGAAAATCCATTGCTTCTTTTAGACATCACTGCCCAATATTGAAATGCTAAGAGTGTACAATAACTGGCTCGATGCTCGGCAATGTACATGTCACTACTTTTGGGCTGCCTCATGACTTCTTTTGCTGCTCTTCTCTTTTCCCAAACCTCTGTGCTTTTTACTAGGCTATTCAGATGGCAGCTGCTAGCTACTCATTATGTTCCAAGGCATGGCTTACATTAGGGAAGTTAATAGTGATGGAGCACTGTTAGTATGTTACTGAAAACCACATGAAAAAGAAAAAAGACAAACCGTTACATATGAGGTTAATATCAGCCCAGAATTAAGCTCGAAAATACCAATAGATGATAATGACTATAAAATAGCAAGAGAGGGTAATAGCTAGGGGAATAGCTACTTTACTGAACATGTAAAGATGAAAATCAAATGCTTCTGAAATGGTTTCATCTTGATGTAACTCTTCTCTTAGAAGATATGAGCAAATCACTAAAACAGTCCAACAAACGGCAAAGCTCATGTTTCTCATCCAATGATACTGCCATGGAGTTATAAGTAACACAAGTAATGTGTAACCGCAAATTAACCATGTAAATAATTTCAACCAGTGCATGCTAGTGGTAAAACCGTAAAACATGTTGTATTTTGGTGTATTTCTATCTAGTGTGCTTATGCACAGATGATTTCCTTGTCCAATCCGCCATAATTGAAGCATAACTGTACAAGACAGCATGAACAAATACCAAGGAAACCAAAGAAGTCATGAGAACATCCAGTAGGGGCAAGCCCCTCCTGTTTCCTAAAAAAAAGTCATGAGAAAAGTGGAAATGACAATGGAGTCATACACAGTTACAAATTTCGCCAGTGATTTGCATCATAAATAAAAAGCATAGGGCACCATGAAAAGATAGTATCTGCCAAGATTTTGTATCTATGTTGACTTTTTTTTATTCGTCTAGAAGAACAAATAGTAATATTTACCCAGGTTTATGCAAGATAAGCAATCATCAAACACCTACCATAATACTATTTTCTGAGCAAAAAAACATGACCTTTTTGTAAAAGATATGTACCTGAATATCTGTAGCTTGCACATACAAGTAGCTGCCAAAATATATCAAGAGAAAATATATATGGCTATAAAGATGCAGGTGCAAGTACAGATACAACCAAATTCTGTAAGAATATGAAGTAACAGCAAAAAGGAAAATTAGTCTAATCCAGGAAACAAGCAATGCGTTTATTGAACTGGTATAACATGCCCGATTGCCCGAGCATCCCAAACAGCAACAACAGGAAATTATTGCAATATAGAATACACATGTGACTGAGGCATACACATCAGTCAAGAAAAAAAACAGAAGTTTGCAGTGGTAGCTCAAAGGGGAAGAGGAAATATATATTGTGTTGAATGCCTAAATAAGATCCACCGTGTAAAGCAATGCAGGCGCGCTATCAACACAAAGAGTAACCTTATTTTGTGAAATGTAGAGAATGACAGGTTTCCAATTAAACACAGGCATTTAGGACCACGTTTAGTATTTTGAAAAACCTATGGCATTCAGTTCCAAATATATTTGTACATAATGGTGGTTTTTCAGGTCAATTCTTTTGGGGTGTGAAAACATAGTACTAACGCAAAATGATCAAGGAATAGAAGAAAATACTCCTAAACTAAAACAACAGTGAAGCTACAGGCAACAGGAGTCAACCAAGTGAATTTCTATAACCTGTTTATTTCTGATTTTCCAGATCCACCATGGAGATGGCACAATTATTCTAAGCCAATTTCATTTGGGAGAAGATCATTGCAAGCATTGACATAAAAGCAAACTCCAACTATATACACCATGGGGGTGTTCGGCTGGTATAGTTCTAGGGGAATTTGGATGGTTTAGAGGAATTCTGGAGGAATTTGTGAGAGAAAAACACTGTTCCGGATGAAAAAAGAAGCGGATCCAGCCGGGTTTAAGGGCACACGAACGGGGCCCATGTGATGATAGCCAAAACCCCTTTCTTAATGACTCGGGTCAATGAAATAGGAAAGAGAATAGATAAAAGCAGACCAGGCAGGGAGGAAAAGTTTTTTTTAAAAAAAAAGGAATAATCCTACCTCCATGTGGTCATTTGCTTGGTCCATAAAAATGTGGACTTGATTGCCATGCAGAATAATTCTATCCCTAAGAGATTATTTATGATTAGAGCACAGCAGAGATTATTTATGCTCATGTTATTATCTTCTTGGAAACAAAAATCGAAGTAAAAGAACCTTCATGGTTTTTTAAAGAAATGCAGGCATGTGTGGTACATGATCAACAATTATGTTAATCTTGACAATAGAGGTAATTTTTTTTTTTTGATGAAACGATAATAGAGGTAATGCCAGGTAAATAGTTTTCTTTTAGCAAAAAAAGCTACGGCAACGGAAGGTGCACATGGGGAAGTGGAGGACAGTGCCGGAGCTAGACTAGGTTCAGATTGACACCCATGTAGCCTGTGGTGAAACCAAGGGGTAGTCGCAAAATTGTGGAATTCGGTTCCATAAAACAAATGAATATCCTAATACTATGTGCACAAGCTGATAGCAGAAACATCATATAGATGATTAGCTATGTGAGAGCAGATCAGTTGCGCGGCTTGCGCTGCTCATGCTCGCTATCAGGAAGAGGGCGACTCTGCAGATTACAGACCCAAACATGAGCTAGAGCCAAATTAGTACATCTACCATGAAATTTCTTTAATAACCCATCATTATTCAAATGCTAGAATTGCAAGTAGTTCAACAAAGAACACCGTCAAAAGCCCTGAATCAATTCCTGATATCTCGATGTACTTTCACAAATAGGAGAGGATTTTGCAGCACGCCCTTCCCCGGTGCTTAATCCACCTCCGCAACTGCACAAGCTGCACAAAACCGGCACCCACCACGTGACATCGTTCGCGGCCTAGGCGAGTCCGAATCGAGGAGGCGATGCCGACGAGAAACCTGACTCACCGATCGAAGTCCGGTGTACCGATCTAGTTGACTAGTTGGGCTGCCGCGTGCGAAACCCGGAGAGCCATCTCGCAGGCCCA